AAATTTTTTTACAAGTTTTTTCAAATGGTTTTTATTTAAGAAAAAACTTATGAACAATTTGCATTTTATTTCAAATCCGTGCTTCTGATCGCAAGAGAAATAACTTTTTATTTTTGATTTAAATAATCTCCGAAAGTTAATAAAGAAATTAAAAAAATTCTTCACTATATATTTAAGAAAGATACAAATACTGTAGAAAAAAATCAGTATGTCGATTGGATATTTTTGAAATGAACTACATGCTTTCAAAGTAGGCTATTCCCAAATTCATGAAAAAAACCACGTATTTTTTTCAATTAAAAATCTATAACTTAAACAAAAAATTTTTTTGGGTTATGAAATTTTGTATATGAACGACTAGATAATTAAGCTACGTATTACACTTCGTCTTAACTCTCTATGATTTTTTTACCTGCGTTGTGAGCTTTCAAAGTCAGGGGCCTGTTCATTTTTGGCCTATCCCGGTAAGAAGCGAAGAATTGAAAATAATTCAAAAGTTGTATTCTTCTTAATAAGCGAATTTACCTCGGAGCTCTATTCCACGGAAACGACCAAAATTTCAGAAAAGTCTATTATTCTGAATTGACTTCAGAAAAATATGGACCGCGCATTCAAAAGAATGAGAAAGTACAGCAAATCAGTAGAAATTTCTATTTCTCTGAATTAACTCACTGCCACTCAAGATTACACTAGAAAGTGAGGTTAGGTTTCAAAACTTGACTTAAACATTTAACACTTGAAAATTTCTTTCAATAAGAGCATTTTATATTTTATCGTAAGCACTTTGCGTCTTTTAACCATATTTTAACTAGTTTTAATATTTAATTTTAATAGTATAGCTGTTTAGCACGGAATTTACAATGAAATTCACACGATGCGAAACATAGCGCTGTCACTGCGTTCTATTTTAAGATAATAATTACAGGAGCTCTTACAGACAATTTGAAAAATTAGGTTTTTTCAAATTCTTTGTCAAAAGTTCTATTCCTTTTAATGCGCTTCTGAAATTCGTTGCAGCCAATTGAGAATAATAAACAATTCAAAATAATAGAACTTCATATTTTTTTCAAGAACTTGCAATACCATAAAACTTTGCGCATTAGGAAAAATAGAAAATTTGAATTCTTTTCTATCTCCCGATCGACGACAGCAATAGAGAAGAATTGATTTTTCTGAAATTTTGATCGTTCCCGTGGAATAGAACTCCGAGGTAAATTCGCGTATTCAGAATAATTCAAAATTCTCGTTTTTAAGCATATTTTCTAGAAATTGAATTCTTTTCTATATTCTACGCTTCTTACCGGGATAGTAGTTACTCTTTTCAAGTTCTGACCATCAATAGCATAGTTATATGAACTAACTTTGCCTTTAGAAAATGAAACAACATAACTTTTTTTTTATATTAATACTTAAATGACTTTTACCGCACCATTTTTGTAACCTCTTCAGATCCTTTTGCAGATCTGAAGTGTCCTTTTCTGCTGAAAGTAAATGAATTATTTTGTAACATTTAAGGTCATCTGCATAGAGTAAAAAGTAGGAATGCCGAATCGCTAGACACCCTGTTATATCAGTGGGAAATTTGATTATTGAATTTTGATACTGTGATGGAAAAGGGAAAAAAATTCTAATGTACATACTACATGTATAATGTGTATTGGTTTGACTTTATATATATAATAAAAATCGACTACTCTAACTACTTAGCTAAAAGAGCTTTTACAATGAGGGGGAGGCTTGCGGTAAGCAGGAAAGCTTGTTCCGTTTCTACGTCACGTCCGGTTATCCACTGACATACTTCGCTTATTAAAGATAAGCCAACGCTTTTTTTTCTTTTTTACCTTCCCCTCGGCTCCGTTAATTACTAATTTTCTCGATATAATATATTACTGTCTCTCCGTAGGGGGTCTTCGACCTTTTCCTTCCAAAAAAAGAGGAAAAGAAAAATTGAGGAAAAAAAATCTTCGTTTTAATCCGTAACGAGTTTATCTTCACAATAAACTATCATCTACTAGAGTATTTTTTCCCCCTTTTACGTCGGGGAGAGAATTTTTTTTTTATATTTTCTTTTTATCTTACAAAATGAAAATTAATGTCTGCTCTTTTTTTAACGTTTTCCTGGAAAATTAATTTTTCCTTCTCCCGTGTAGAAATTAAAAATAGGATTTAATAAGGCCCTGAATAGACGCCCTTTGGTTTAGTGAGGAGCAAACTAGGAAAATTAGTCAGGACCCGTCTAATTTCGTCACGCTTGAAATATCAGTTGATGATGTGGAAAGATAGAGAGGTTTTAACTAGATTGCCTTGTGACTGCCTGAATAGAAAAGCAGAATGTGGGGATTTAACTAGAGGGCCTCTTTAGCGCCTCATTATTTTTTCTAAATACCCAAGCAAAAATTTACGACCGGCGCAATATTGAGCCAGTAACACTGAACAAGTCACTGAACAAAAACACATGTAAACAACACTGTTTCGACCAATCAACCTGCCATTGTCTTCTGGGTGATTAAAATTAAAATGTCATTTTCATGTCCTGCCCAAAAATCTGGAATACTAGTTATAAAAGTTTTGTATGGCAATTAATTTTCTTAATCACTTCTTCTACTTAAATTAATAATTCTTAGTCGCCAGAAATTCTCTGAAAAAATTTGGCAGAAGAATTAGAAGCAAAATGTCAGTGGTGTCCCTTGTCCGCACTTAAGAAATCAGAACTTTACCTAATAATAAAAATTGTTGATTCTCACTTTTTTAGTACCAGAAAAATTATTTTGTACAACTGAGAGTCTATATTTTTATATAGTACTTGTTCTAACAGAATAATTTTGATTCAGTGTTAGAAAAAAAATCAAAATCTCATGTCCGTAAGTTTCATATTTTTAATTAATTATCGCAAATTTTGAATATCATACCTGACATTTAAATAACCTAGTGCAGATAATTGCCTTATTAAGCGTTAATAGTATTGGTGATATGTATAGCTTCTTAAAGAAAAAACATTACAACATTCTGAAACATCTATAACTTGTACGGTTGGTGGCAGGAAGCAAGTAACACTTTGTCGAGCACACCATGTCAGTGGTGTCCCCATCAAAAAATTGTTCATAATATTAATATTTTTTAAATATTATTGAATCTCATTTTCAGTTATATTACGTACTTTGAACACCGCAACGATATTAACTTCAAAATAAAGTCTTTCTTTTTCGAAATTGAGAAATGAAGCAAAATGTCAGTGGTGTCCCCTCGAAATTCTGTTTCTTGCATCTTATTATTTTATTTTTAATAAATTTATGTTAAATTTACTTCTTATATGCAGTTAATAATGATTTGATACTGGATTGTAATTTATAAGCTGATTTTATTCTCATCATTCAAAAAAAATTATCAGTGAAATCTTTCAAAAATGTCAGTGGTGTCCCTCAATGTTCATACTTTTTTGGTCTTCAACAGTATATAATTTATGGCAGAACTCATTACAAATATTTTTTAAGTCATGTTGAAACATTCATTATTGTAATTTGAAATATTTTAACTTTTTAAAATTGTAAGAATTTATTTGAGAAAAGAATAAACGAAAATAGAAAATTTCTTATCATTTCTGCCTGTCGTTTTTCACCTGGTGAAAATTAAAATTTGCTTCCACCTGCTCGACCACTATTATTTTTGTCCATCATATATTCTAGTCAACCAAAATAGAGTATTGTTATTATATTGTTCAAAACCCAACATCAAAAATACGAAGTTAGCAGGATCAAAAATGACATTTTAATTTTAATCACCCTTCTACAGAATTGTTAGTTAAAAGTATGAAAAATACAAACTTTCAAACTCTCTACACAGGAAAAAAAGTCTGACTCCGTTTACACCTTAAATTCAGCCTCGAAAATAGGCTGAAAGTAAAACTTTTTTTAGTGTGTAAAACTGAATCAGTGAAATTTAACTGAGAATCAGTGACTCTTTTCTCGCGATTTGAATCAGTAAAATTTCACTGAAGATCAGTTTAAAAATGATTGATGTTTCGGTCACTTTTCACTGATTGGCCAATTAAAAAATAACTGAAATTTTCAGTAGTTTTTTAATTGTCGAATCAGTGGAAAATGACTTAAATTACTTCCTCATAGAGGAAGTATTTTAGTTACTTTTAACTGATTTTCAGTGAAATTCCACTGATTCAAATCGCGAGAATAGAATCACTGATTCTCAATCAAATTTCCTGTGAAATTTTTATTATATATGAAAATAATTAAACGTTGCGTAGAATTTTGTCAAAATTTCGTTTAAATAATTGAGTTTTTACAGAAAATTTTATTCAAATAGTAGATATGGAAAATTATTGAATTGAGGAAATTTTTTTGAAAATTTTATTACTTTTGAAAATAATTAATTGAATTTCTGCTATCATTTATAATTTTTCTAAAATTCTCCAAATTCTATCGTACAATTTACGAACATTAAGTTTTAAAAAATACGACCGCCATATTGAATCCACCATTTTCCTTATTTTAAAATTTACTTGAAATCGCTTGAGATTTGTTACTCGGAGGTTTTTTGAGGTCGCTGATTATTATGAATTTGAGGTCAGATTTACAAAATTCTAAATGTCGGATCCAATATGGCGGCTGAAAATTTTGAGAAATCATCAGATTAATAATAATTTAATTAAATTATTATTTATATTAACAGATTAATATAAATTAATTAAATTATTAATATTATAAATCGCGTCTTCTTTGCCGAGAACAAAAAATACGTTTCCTTTGTTCTTCTAATTATTATAACTTTCATACCTTCGTAAAAATCAGTGAAAATGATTACTAATAAAAATTAATCATGGATATCACGAGTCAGGGAAATCAGGGAAAAGTAACTTTTCTAAAGTTACTAATAATTATTAAAATTTTATATGAAAAATTTATGTTTTTAAATGTACCTTAAAGAAGGTAAACAGAATAAAAGAAATAAAGAAAATTACATTAATAATAAATTTTTCTTTTTTTCAGGAGCCGGAGAGTCTGGGAAAAGTACAATAGTAAAACAGATGAAGTAAGTTAATTTACTAATTATTATTATATACAGTAGGATCTTTCAATAGTGCAGTAGCCGGGAATATTGTGCACTGTTCGAAGCAAGCAAAAACTAAAACATTCAGGCCCGTGTCAAGAAAATTAAGGGTCTCCTACTACTAAATACCGGGCACAACTAAATTATACTAAATAATCAAATGAGCGACGGCACTGTATTTGACGTCACAGATTCCCCTTCCCTTTACCCCCCGAAACCCCTTGTCTACTCAACTCACTAATGACTGCACTGTTCAGAACTGCACTATTGAAAGATCCTACTGTAATTGTTTATTTACTTTATTTATAATTGTTAAATTTATCTTCATTAAAAGTTCCTTTTCAATAACATAAATTTGAAACCAGTTTTTATTAAATGTTTTATGTACTAAAGACTTTTGAACATCAATAAATTTATAATTTTTATTGATTCTCTTTTTGTAATTTAATTAAAAAAATTGTAAACATAGCCTAAAATTTTTTTGCTTTTACCAAGAAGACTAGAAACAAGAGGTAAAACTTCAGCAATGGGGGTATGGCAATGCTGAGTCGCTCAGCTGGTTTATCGTCAGGCGTTTTCTTTCAAAAAAGTCTCCGCCGCAATAATAACACACGTAAACACGGGAAAATATATTCTATACAAATACAATATGAAATATAAGTGTTTATATTTTCAAACCCCTTTTAGTTATTAAAAAAAACGTTTTAAAAACAAAAAAATGTGTAAACTGTAGCATGAAGTGTATTAAAAGTTAACAAAAAGTAATTGTCATAGTGTTGTGTTTTTTTTAATTAGGGAGACTTTTGGGAAATCTGCATACAGATATCTTGGACTCCGCAGTCCAAGGTTTTGTGGGGTTAGTAGAATAAAAAAGAAAATATAAAACAAGAAATCTAATAAACTGACGACCTACTGTCAGCCCCGACCCACTTAAACCCGTAACTCTTCCTTTGAAGCCCTTTACCCACCCTTGGAACTGTCGTAAGACTTTAGCCTTAGAGGGGGGCGTTCCAACTCTGTCGCTATTGCGACTTTGTTCTTTTCCTGCGGTTCTCCTGCGTCAATAGTTAAAATTTAAAATTATTTAGTGACTTCAACCGAAAGCTTCATCCCTCGGTGGTTGGGTCCTAAGACCGTCACTCTCCTGCTTCCTGGCTTTCCTATCGCTTCAGACAAAACTTGTTGCACCTCGGCTTCTTGGGTAAGGCAATCCAAATCACGGATCTCGAGTGTAACTCTTCGATCCAACGACTGCACCTTACTCATGCTTCCAACCGCCTTGGTGACCTCAGCGGTGAAAGCGTCCTTATCGGAGTCTTCTCTGATCTTAATCAGAAGGTCTCCCTTCTTTGTAGCTTTTGCTGCTACTATTCTCGTATGGCAGTCGTCCGAATTGACCGCTTTGCGAAGTTTACCCAGAACGTCAGCATACGTTAATCCTTGACCGACTCAGATTAGAACTGCGGATCTTTTTTACCTCATTCTTTCCAATTGAGGAATCTGTGGATCTGGTACTTCCGTTTCTATTGGAGAATCTTCCTCCTTTTTCCTCTTATCGATTTGGGTTTGAGTCTCCTCTGGACTTTCACTCTCTCGCTTCCGTTTCTGAACATCTCTTATGACGCTTTTGCGAGATTACGCTTATAGGAACACTCTCTCTCTTCCTTACGCTCCTTGCGGTTACACTCCGCACCGCTAAAAACGCATGCCAAATCGAACTCCGACTCATCGGCCGCGGCATGCTTTACTTTTGCCTCTTTCAGCAGGACTTCGATGGCTCTGAGTCCATCTTTTACCGTCCTATTGACGTTCTTCTGAATGTCGCAAGACTTTATCATCTTTGCGACCTCCAACTCCATTTTTTCGAGGCAAGTCGCCTCCTCCTTTCTGAGCCGCGAGCATATCTCGCGAGTCTCTTCTATCGCCTCGTCGTCTACTTCTGAGTGGATAGCGCTATGTACGGTCTTTCTGCTACTGCAGCTTGACACACTCAGAAGGCTCGACGCGCTTCCTTTTCTCATTCTTTCTACTTCCACGCTCTTCTGTGGATCTAATCTTTCCACGATCACCCGTGGCTTTGCAAGAAATTGTGCGCCCCCACAATCCGCGCGCATTTCAGCATCAGTCCTGGGACCGATGGTGAGATTTCCCGTTTCCGGCCTGCTTACATGGGATACCTTCTTTGAATTTTGTGAATCCATTTTTTCATGCTGTTTGGTTGTCCTTTAGTGAAAAGCCCCGCCACCACGGCAAGATCTACCGAACATGTCCATGATGCCAGTCGTGTCTGGCAGCGGGTCCACTTCTCCCAGCACATCAAAGACATTAATGATGTTCGGCAGTGGACAGCCAGCGGCGGAGCAGAGTGTTGTGTTTATCTTTCTTCTTGTTACAACTTTTCACACAGCACGTCTTCGGTATTCTTTAACTATTTGAATAACACTTAATTTAATAATCACTTACATTATTTCTATATATCCGTTAAGGGGGCGCATGATTATTCCCCAAATTTCAATTTCCTAATGTTCAAAACATCGAAATTCATATCATCAAAACTTCATTTCGCATAATTTTCGGTTTTCGAAATTTCATTCAACATAATTTTTAATTTATCGATTTATTCTTTATCATATTATTTAAATAGTCGAATTGTTTTTTAATATAATTTTTAATATGTCGAAAATTTTTTTGACATACATTTTGTTTTTCCGAATGACTATTTGTCATAATTATTAATCCTCCGAATTATGACAAATAGTCATTCGGAAAAACAAAATGTATGTCAAAAAAATTTTTGACATATTAAAAATTATATTGAAAAACAATTCGACTATTTAAATAATAGGATAAAGAATAAATCGATAAATTAAAAATTATGTTGAATGAAATTTCGAAAACTGAAAATTATGCGAAATGAAGTTTTGATGATATGAATTTCGATGTTTTGAACATTAGGAAATTGAAATTTGGGGAATAATCATGCGCCCCATCCGTTAAGACACACATTGTATCTCGATTGCACTTTAAAGTTAATACCTTAAATTAAAATCATATCATACCTACTCCATGTATCATACACATGTGAAACACACGGTATACAAGAATTTGAATGTGTGAGAGATGTGCAGCAGCACCGCGCCAGCGACTTTTCGAAACGAAACGCCTAGTTAAAGACAGGCTTGTGACTCATCCCCACTACCGAAGTTTCACCTCCTGTCTCCAGCCTTCCCACTTCCCTTCACTTATACCTTTCGTTGTAGCGCGTCACTTATAATCTTATATCAATTAATTTATTTATTTACAATATTCTCACTTACAAAATATAGAAAATGTTTTTTTTTGGATTATGTAATAATCAATACAAAAATAAAAATATAGTAAATATTGAAATAAATATAAAATACTGTTAAAAAATGAAAAAAGAAGTAATTTTAATAATTTTTGTGTTTGTCTTGCTTGCTTTCAGAATCATTCACGAGAGTGGGTTTACACCGGAAGATTTTAAACAATACAGGCCAGTCGTTTATAGCAACACAATACAATCTTTAGTAGCAATTCTTAGAGCAATGCCCAATTTGGGAATCGGTTTTTCGACCAATGAAAGAGAAGTAAGTATTTTTTTCCATAATCATTTTCAGTATAATGTTTTTTAAAACGAATATAAAATTATTAATATTTAATAATAAATTATTCATGAAATTAAGAAGGATAAGAAAATTTTTTTCTATTACTTTTTGTTGTTTTTATTTATTTAAATATAGCAATTTGATACAAAAGGGAAACTTATAAAAGAAAATAATATGAATGTTTTAATGGCGTGTATATTCGTACAAAGGCGTTTCGTGAACTTAAGGAGGCAACCCTAGTTGTAGCGTGCAAATATTGACTATTTTCATTAATTAAATAAAAAAAATCGACCAACATTTTTAAATAAAACAATTTATTGTCTAAAAGTACACAATTTAAACTGCAAATTCCGATAAAAAATTTTAAAAAAACATTTGGTAGGTATTCGATGATTGATAGAAGGTAGGCCGACTTCTGCCAAGAAATGACGTAAATAAACGACTTCTTTCACAGCCTCTGTTAAAGTCATGTATTCTGATTGTGTGCTAAACAGGGCTACTGTATTTTGTTTCCTAGATTCCCAGGAAATTGCCGAATTACTGAGTTTGAAGGTGTATCCAGTACAGGATCTGTGATCGTCAATAGCGCCGCCCCAATCAGCATCGACAAATCCGATGAGGTCTTCTTCGGTTCGTTCGTACATCAGTCCTTGATTAACTGTCCCCTTCAAATATCGCAATACTCGCTTCGCTGATATCCAATGACTTTTTCCCGGATTCTGGTTGAATTGACTCAAAGTGCTCACAGCGTAAGCGACGTCAGGGCGTGTTAATACAGCCAAGTACATGAGTGATCCAATTAAAGATCGATATGGAACTTTACTCATTTCTTGAATCTCTTCTGATGTTTTTGGTTCCATTTCTCTGCTCAGCTTTACGTTTCCATCCAGTGGAGTGGCCACAGGCTTCGAATCATTGCCTAGTTACAAAACGCAACGCAAAACGCTGCCATGGGACTTCAGCCTTATTTGAAATTCTTTGGTTAAATTTCTTTTTAGTTCCTCGAAATTCTTGATATGGTTTGTAGCAATTATTAGGTAATCTACGTAAACTACGACAATTAGAATTGACTCCCCCTGATTTTGTACGTAGACACATGTGTCACAACTGAGGGGTTTCAATCCTAGTTCTTCCATTTTTCGGTTCAACTTTTTAAACCACTGACGTCCCGATTGCTTCAGTCCATATATCGATCGTTTCAGTAAGTACACAGCATCCATTCTTTTGGAGTTTTCAAATCCTTCAGTCTGCTCCATGTAGATGTCTTCTTCCAAGTTGCCGTTGATGTAGGCCATGACAACGTCGAGTTGGTAAATATCGAGGCCTAACTTTGCTGATATTGCCAAAATCAACCGCACGGAACTTTGTCGGGCTACTGGAGCATACGTTTCCGTAAAGTCCATTTCAGGTTGCTGATTGTATCCTTTAGCCACTAAGCGAGCTTTGTGGCGTTCAATATTTCCGACTGCATCATACTTTGTTCGAAGAATCCATCTGCATCCAATGACTTTCTTTCCTTTTGGACGTTCAGCCAGAGTCCAAGCTCCAATTTTTACTAGAGCGTCGAATTCCGCTTTCATAGCTTTACGCCATTTTTCTGCATGAGGTCCAGCAAGAGCTTCCTGAACTGATGGATTGGGGTTTTCTTCGTATGTCAGCGACGAAGATTTATGATTTATAGGTTTTACGTTGAAGATTGTTCGTGGTCTCCCTCTGGCACCAGTTCTTTCAATTCTGGGGCGTCCGGCTATTTTCTTACTCGTACAAGGAGTTACATCTGAAATCTTCTGATCTTCATTGTCAAAATCGTGTTCGTCATCTTCTGAGTTATTTGCAGGGTTAATGTTGTGGATGTCCATTGAATCCATTTGTTGATTTTCGTCGCTCTAATCACTTGTAGAAACACTTGGAGAAGTTTATCTTGATCCATTGTTGTCTTCACGAGATCGATTTTTGTCGTCATTCAAATTGTTTGGGAATATTTCACTCGAATTGTCGTTGTCCGCAGGAGATGTTTCACTCAAATCGCCGTTCACCGGAGGTTGATGTTCAACATTTTCTCGTCCTGGGTTGATTGTTTCAATGTTCGTTTTACTGAGTTCACTGTTTTCGAAGAATGGTACAAATAACTCGGCATCATTCTTTTCAGCGATAGCTTCACCCAAATAAATCTCTTCTAAGAATTTTACATCGCGGCTCAGTAATATTTTTCTTGAGTTAGAATTCCATAGTCGATAGGCCTTCGACGAGCTGGAGTATCCAACAAAAATACAAGCAGCAGATTTTGGATCAAATTTATCGATGTTTGGTGATTTGTCGAGTACATAAACTTTGCAGCCAAAAGATCTTAGATGAGTTACGGTGGGGTTGAGTCCGGACAAAATTTCGTAAGGGGTTTGGTTCTTCAATTTCATCGTAGGACACTTGTTCCGTAAATAGACCTTTTGCTCTGTTTGATTGTCTACCAAAGCTTTGAATTTGATAAAAGCATTTTTGACGTCACTTTTCTTTTTGAGAAAATACACTTCTGTGTATTTGCATTTATCATCAATGAAGGTTAAAAAATATAGTGAACCACCGAGAGATTTTGTTCTAAATGGCCCACAAACGTCGGAGTGAATTAAACTTAGCACTTTTTCATTTTTGGAAACTGATGTCTTCGGAAATGGAGTTCGTGAATTTTTTCCAAGAATACAAATTTCACATGTGCTTAATTTTTCACTTGACTTGAGAACGAGACCATTCACCATGCGATCTGATGATAATTTTCTTAAACTGTTTTCGTTTAAATGACCGAATCTTAAATGCCATTTTTGAATTTCAATTACGTTGTTTGCTGTTTCAGGTACAAAATTTATTATTTCCAGCGTCGATTCTGCACATAATGCCGATACAATATTACACCATTTATTAAGTAGATTCATATGATCGACTATCTCGTTTACAGGAATGTTTTGGGTTTAATAAATAAAGTTCTTGTATATGGCTCAAAAAACATCCTCTTCTTTTAAAAGGATTATTCTCTACTTAAGAGTAATTCCTCTTAAAAGAAGAGGAATAGTCTCCAATGAAGAGTAATATTCTTAATTCAAGAATAAAATGTAAGAGGATTTTAGAAGACGAATTGTCCTCTCAAAACAAGAATATTGTTTTTTCGGTGAACGCGAACAATAAAGGCTTCCTCTTTAGTTGCATTTGATGAAATGGGCTTTTATCTGCAGCCTTTTTCCTACAGTCAGTAGCTTTGTGGTCAAACTTTTTGCAGTAGTTGCAATTAAAACGTTTCCATGAATTTTGTTGATGCTGGTTGCCTTTGTTTTGATTTACATTAAATCCTTCACTTTTCTGACGTTGTTGAAAATTTTGGTGTTTAAATGGTTTTGCGTAAAATGCACCTTGTGATTCTTGTTCTGTGTCCTGCCCTTTTCTGGTATTATATTCGTCTAATAGTTTTATTTTCAAGGCTTCCGGAATCGGAAGCTCGTCGCGAGCTTCTATTGCACATCGAAAATTATAAAATGTATTGGGAACGCTGTAAAGCAACAATATGGTAAGTAGATCGTCCGAAATAACAATTTTCAATTTTGTCAATTTGTCTAAAATATTGAAGAATCTATTCAAGTTATCCGCCATGTTTTCATCGTCGTTCATTTTAGTAAACAACAATTGTTTCAATAATGTTGCTTTTCTGGCGGGTCCTTTGGATTTATAAACAAGATCTAATTTCTCCCATACCTCATTGGACGTTTTGCAATTTTTAATGTGGCCTAACTCGGTTGGTCTAAAGCAAGGATTATATCAGCCTTAGCTTTTCTATCTCTTTTGTCCCAGTCAGCTGCGGTAGCATGCCTCTTCTGGCTTGACTGTGGTTCCGTCCGCATACTCCCAGTGGTAGTTTTTCACAAGAACAGCTTCCATATGAAGACGCCACGTATCATAATTGCCACATAGAGAGAAGGTGTAGTTAATTCTACTTAACACGTTTATGCCCGGTTCCACCAACTCGTAGTTAAAGGTTCGATTAACTGACGGTCCGCTAAAGTTAAAGGCGCTGAGTTGACTTTATAACCGCCTATGCGTTCCACCAACATGTTATAAGCCATGGTTAACTAAACGTATACTATGTTCGAAATAACATTACTTTCTCTATTATGATTGGTCAATTCTAACGAAAAGTGTACGTTTTCTAGATAGAATTTTGCCATTTTCCAAGATCCCTCTTTAAAAAATTGAAACAGCTAAAAATAAAATTTGTTACTGTACCAAACTTCTGTCTATTATTTATAAAAATTACAATAAAAAAAAATATTCCATTTTTTTTAAGTCTATAACTTTTTTCTTAATGCTTCTAAAAATCCAATTTTCTCTAAATAGTTAAATGTTGATATGATTTACTTAATATTAAAATTTGACGTAGGTGTTTTGCTTTGTTTTCGAAATATTAATTTTTTAAAATTGTTTAGTTAAAAAGGTTAATTTTATACAACTACCATCAAATTTGAACTTGTAAATAAAGTGATATGAAATTGGTTGAATAACTTCAAGTCCTTAAATTAACCTTTTTAACTAAACAATTTTAAAAAATTAATATTTCGAAAACAAAGCAAAACACCTACGTCAAATTTTAATATTAAGTAAATCATATCAACATTTAACTATATAGAGAAAATTGGATTTTTAGAAGCTTTGAGAAAAAAGTTATAGACTTTAAAAAATTGGAATATTTTTTTGGGGAAAAATGTTTCGATTTTATTTAATTAATCAAAAATAATATATTTTTATATAAATTGTATCATTTCCTGATTCAACGAAACATGATTTATGTTTTAGGTAATTCTGCTATGACATAAAATAGTTATTGAATAAAAATGTTTTTAAAACTCCAGAAGAAGGGTTACGGGTTTTAGTGGGTCGGGCTGGTAGTAGGTCGCCAGTTTATTAAATTTATTATAACATTTATTTATTTATCTTTTTTTTTTAATATTACTCTTTGTTTCATTGTTCCAACCCCACATAACCTTGGAGTTGCGGAATCCAAGGTATCTGTAGGCAGATTTCCCAAAATTCCCTAAGCAAAAAAAAAAAAAAAAAAATCTGAAAAAATAAAATTTACATTATAATATTATGATTAATGGACTCAGGAAGTCTTCTAGTTTTACATATTTTGAAACCAGATTTTTTAAAAATATAGCCGCAACAGCCCCCAGACGAAAGTCAGTGGACTGACCCATCTATATTTCATTTAAAAAAAATTACATTCTTCGAACACGTATTTATCCCGGTAAAAAATCTTGCATTATAGAAAGTATTGAAAAAATTGAATTCCTTTTAATTGCTTTTTTGTCCTCAGTTTTGAATTCCTAAAAAGAGTATATAAATAAAAAAATTTAATTCGCTTTAATATCGTCACATAAACGTTGACCAAGGTATAGAAAGGAATTGAAAAGCACATAATTTTAAGTTAGGTATAGAAAGGTATTCAATTTTAAATATTGGTATTTATGGCAAATTTGATGCTCATGAAGTCAATTTTTATGAGTAAGTGAAATTAAGGAAAGTAATAATTAAAATTAAATAAAATTTTATATTATACGTGATTTACATGGAAATCACACAGCACCGAGAATTTCTTGAAAATGGACAGGAAATCGCTCAGTTTATATCGTTTATATTAGCAGACGAAATTTTAATAATTAGGCGAATATTGCATGCAATATTGATACAATATTACCTAAACATGTCAATAAGTCATTATTTTCAGTAAACTTTTTGCTCAAGTTTGATATTCAATATTTCCTTTATATGCGGACATTTAAATAACCTCACATTCTCCATGAGTTTTACCACGCAGTATTTCTAACCTCGCTGGGCGGGGTCCTGTCTAGTTTCGAGAAATTCTCGGTTCCGTGTGAGATTTTATTTGGTAATTTGCACCCGATTATATGCACGTAGACAGTCCCAGTTGACGCCACCCACATAGCACAATAATTTTCTGCAAATTTGCGGCAAGTTATCAAAGCAAAATTCGAAAACTTGCCTGGCAAATTTGCAGCAAACTTGCGGCAAATACCAAAATGTCCGTTTGGTGGCAAGTTTGCAGAGCAAATTTGCAGAAAACTTGCATGGCAAACTTGCAGATAATTTTGTAGCAAACTTTCAAAAAACCTAAAAATTTAAAAAAAATCCTTTTGTATTCAAAATGTATATGTATTTTGATAAACGTTTTTTTTTTACATAAATGTAGTGCGCAGCTCTAGATGTCATAGAAAACTACTGCGCATGCATTTAACATTTACTTTGCCATGCAAATTTTCTACAAATTTGCTCTGCAAACTTGCCACCAAACGGACATTTTGGTATTTGCCGCAAATTTGCCAGGCAAGTTTTCGAATTTGGCTTTGATAATTTGCAGAAAATTATTGTGCTATGTGGGCAGTTATCAGCAGTTACAAAGTCAAGCACATTACAACTGACAATGAACAGAGCCACGTTCTTTTCCTTTTTCATCCTTTTCTCAAGTAACTTGGATTTTGATTGGTCAATTTTTGTTAGTTGTCCACCAACAAGCATTTGATTTACAAGGAATTAAAAGGGATTAGATATATCACAAATTTATTCCACTAAGTGATTAAAAAGTATTCATTCTAATATTGTAAACTTTGAGCATTGAAAAGGATTTGTTTTATAGACGAATTTGACTTATTAGAAGTATTCAAATTTAGCGGACAAAAAAGGAATTCAGAAGTATTAAAAATTTTCGTCTTCCTATTGATGATGAAATAATTTTTAATACCTTTCTATTCAAGCCTTCTTACCGGATACACTTATTTTCTTTTTACTTTACGTTAATCGTTTCTGACAATTCGACAACCTATTTGTCTTTGTCGGAGTTTTCCGTAAAAACAATTCTACGCGCACGTTTCTCGAGTCTTTTGTTTACGAAATGATTTTCAACGAAATTTGAGTTTAGATTTCACTTTCGTCTAGTCGATCGTTTTTCGCGTCAGCGTTTCGCGCTTTCTGATACCTTTACGCAGTGGAAGGCAGTCTGGGGTACATAACCTGTTGTTTTTATTTATTTAAATATAGTAATTTGATACAAAAGGGAAACTTATAAAAGAAAATAATATGAATGTTTTAACGGCGTGTACATTCGTACCATGGAGAATAGACTACAGGAGACCAAACTGCTATGCTCGTAGTTCAAAATAGCCGATCTTCTTCTTCTTTTGTTTAAATGGCCTCTTGTATGAACAAATAGCCAGTACTAAATATAGCCGATCACTTTTGCGTCGGAAGCTAATTTAGTTCAAAAGTTACCGTCTGTGGCGCATGAATCGGTGATGTAAGTTGTGACACAAAATTCAAATTTTTGTTTTTAAAATTTTATTAACAATTGAATAATAAATTTTTAAATTATAGAAGAATAATAAATATTACTTTAGTTTTATTTTACAAATAAAAGTAAAATGTATAGAATATATTCAGAAAAACAAAGTGCTTAGAGGTTAAGTTAGGTTAGTTTATTCACAACTTACACGACCGATACATACGCTACAGGCGAGAAATTTGTGAACTACAATTAACTACAGACGCAAAAGTGTTTGATTTCAAATACATTAGTTTGGTCTCCTGTAGTCTATTCTCCATGATTCGTACAAAGGCGTTTCGTGAACTTAACTAAAGTTAGTAGCTAAAAGCAAAGTAAATACAAAAAAGTGCCGAAAAAGGGAGGGGTTAAAAATTAGTCCAAATAGCGCGTGACGTTTGTTAACGATCCTTTTAACAAAAAATACTTATTTTTTAAATATTTAATATCAATTAGCATTTAATTTTTTAATATATTAACAGGAAAGAAAATATTATTCTTGACTGGCTAGTAATATTGTTGATTTTTACATTAAAAAAATATTAAATTGCCAATGAGGATTTTTTCCTCTGAGTCTCTTCTAATCGATTTGTCCACTCTGTTAGTTGGCAACAGGTGAGAAAATAATTCAGAAATTCGGCTCGTGAAATTATTATTATTTATCAAGTTTTTCTCTTTTTTTTCGATTTTATAAATTTATTGAAAAAATTCGTTATAAGGGCATATCTCTAGAACCTTTAACTTTTCAATGAGAAAAAATTTGTTAATTTTTTATTGAGCACAGTATTGAAACTCTGTCTACATAAACTTTAAGAAATAAGCTTTCAAAATATCCAAGTGGACAGATAAAATGATTCGTCTTCAAAAAGTTATAAACTATTTAAAATTGCGAATTATTTTTAACGTGCAACAAAAAAATATTTAACAGGTGTTTGTTTTTTAGAATCGAAAACAGTTGAAAGTAATTAACTGAGGGGTTATAATTTATAATATAATAATTATATTATTATATAATATATTACTTTTGTATTTATTATATTATTACTAGTCATTAACATTACTTTTCTTTTATTTTTTGTTTGAATTACTAAAAAATTAAAATGGTTTTTATTTTAAAAATAGATTTTAATTAAACTGAATTGTAAAAATATGAAATTATAATGTATAAAGTTTACCTTGCAATTTCCAGATACATTTTATTTAAATTTAACACTCATAAACTTTCCAATTTCTATTCATTTTTTTCTATTTTTCTTTTTTCTTATATATCCTATTTTTTTCGATCATTTATTCTGTCTAAAAAATCAAAATATAAACATTGAAACTTAACCTTCAGTTTTATTTATTAACAGTTTCTATAAAAAAGTGAGAATCGACAACTTCATACTTAACAATTTCTTTTCTAAAAAAGAAACTTATTAAGAAATCTAAACTTTTGGTTGATTACGGTCGACCGTAATTGACAAATATTTTTACATTATCTTTGCAATAAAGTATTTTTTCTTGAAGCACATTCACGGGATGTTAAATGGCACATGCGAAAATATTTACAAGTACTTTTAAAATACTTTTATTTGATTTTCGTGGAGTATCACTCGAATTACGGTCGTTTTCAAATTTTGTACGCGCGTGTTTTCTGTTATTTAAATTACAACAGTTTTTTGAAGACACGAGGCACATCAATTTACTATGTCTCAAAATAATTCTAATAATTTGAACTTTTATTTCCCGTAAGTCATTTTGATGTGCCATTTGTCTTATTAATGAAAAATGATAAATATCTCGATTACGATCAAAAAGGTTAAAAGTGAGGGACAACTTTTGAAAGCTTATAACTTTTTTCAAAATTAACAAATTTTTAATTTTCATACGGAAAAGTGTTCACTGTTTAATTAACTTTAAAAAGATGCGTCTTAGAATTAGTAACTCTTATTCATTACAAAGTTTTATCGTTTAACCCATCCGAGAGTATGGTTAGGGACAAGTAGATATTGTAAAAAATCGGGCACTCAGATTGGAATAATTATTGATATATTTAATAAATTAATGTAAAACCTTTTGGAACTGATTCATCTTATCAAGCTTTAATATTTCCAACAAAAATAAAGTAAAAAGTTATTGAAATTATCGAAATATATGCGAGGGACATGAAAGTTAAAGGTTCCAGAGATATGCCCATAAATGTTGACCGCCTTTTTTCAATATTTTAGTTGGACTTTTAGAATTCAATTTTACTTTATTTTAGAATTTATTTTTAACTTTTTAGGTTTTGAATTTATATTTAGAGGATAAATTATTTATAATCTTGATTTATAAATAAATAATTGAAAAAGACCAATTTTTAGAGACAAAAATATTTTTTTAATTTATCTGTTTGACAGAAAGGAAAATAGTGGAAAAATAAAACTTGTATTTATTTGTAAATGTAGTTAAATGAAAAATTTATTTTTCTCCTCTTTGAGTTTATGATTTTCCATTTATAAGAGAAATAGATTTTTTTTGCAGGGAACTAATTTTTATGTGACAATTTTGAGAGTAAAAATGTACTGATTGGTTTGCAGACGGACGCAAAAATGGTGTTCGACGTTATTCAACGGATGGAGGACACGGAACCTTTTAGCGAAGAATTGTTGGCAGCAATGAAGAGGCTTTGGGCGGACAATGGTGTACAGGAATGCTTTGGCAGGAGCAACGAGTATCAATTGAATGATTCCGCGAAATAGTGAGTACTTTTTCCTTCAAAAAAAAAAAAATCCTCCCCTGTGTCTTTTTTTCAATACACCTTTTATTTGACGAAAAAAGAAATGCTTGGGTTAAAATTATTTTTATTGTTATTAGAAAACAAACGATTTTTGGGACTTAAAAGAATTTGTAAATAAATTTTTTAGTATTTGGTATTTTTTTAGAAAGGAGATTTTTATAAGACTAACTTTAAACTTATATTTTTGACTTTCTAACTACCTTTTTTTGTTGTACTAATGAATTATTTTAGGTTGTCAGAAAAAAGTTCCTTTGAAAAAATGAAAAGACAATAATAAAAATATTAATTCAAGTGAAAAACGACAGAATGACAAATTGCAAAAAGATCCTTTTAGTTGACCTAAAATGCCTTTCGATTAATAAATCAACATTATAAAGAATAGATTTGAAGATAGAATATAGGCCTCTAGGAATCGATGAGAAATTTTATAAATTAGAGAAATTTAAATTTCGTTAAAAATTAAACCCTCAAAGTTGTTTTGTCCAAAGTTGTATTTTTGTCCCACCCTGGATTAATACTAATAAAAATTATTATCCTGAGAATTTCAATCATTCTTGAAAGGGAAGTGTACATTATTTTTAACCAAACTTCACTCACACTGGAAACCAATTTCCTCTTTTTATTTATTTTCGAATAGTTGACTTTGATCCACACACAGCAATCTGACAGAAATTTAGATCCCCTTGTGATCACGTCTCTGTATTGAAAATTCGATTAAAGAAAAATTCCGCATATATCAGGAAAATTTCGTTTAATTGAAATTCTATTCCATATTCTGCAATACTCGACGAAATTGAAATTCGAAATTACTCACTTTGTATGATATTAATAATAGTTGAAATATTTGTCATAATTAGAGAAACGTTTATTGTTCTATTCGCCACTTGAGTTCCTCTCAGTATTTTCATTTTGTTCAGTTTAGTGTCTGGTTATAAAGTCATGAGAATATTTTTAACTTCCGGTTGTCGCCTTTTTGAAAGAGTAGAATAAAGGTACATTAACGAATCGTTATTCGCTCGAAAGGATTCAACTCAAAAAGAAGAAGAAGAAAAAAAAGTAAAACAAACAAATGTCTTTTTTTCCGGTCTGAGTTCTAGAAAGGTTAAAAAGTTCCTTTTCTTGTCTTCTTTCGGTGTTTTTTTTTGCTCTTCTTCTTTATGCTCCTCGGTTCGTGGGAGAATTTCAAACGAGAAACCCTCTGATCGATATATTCACTTGAGGCTGTTTCAAGCCCAACTGTGTTTGGCCGACTGTGTTTGGTTCTTCCAAAGTTCATCCACTCGATAGACAATAAGGGAAGCGAGAGAGCGAGAGAGAAGGATAGAGAGAATAGACTCGGTTGAGAATAGACTTTTAAGGACAAAACAGTTTCATATATATACATACAGCCTCGTTGTGTTTAACTTGGCATCATGCTAAAATTTACTTTTAACCAGGTGTTCACAGCACACGTGTTCAGTGTTCAGAAACTCGAAATATACTACTGAGCGTTAATTAAGACTCTCAGGGTAATTAAATTCGACTAAGATTCTTGTCCTATTCAAGTTTCTGAAAACACATCTCTTGACCTTGGCGTGTTTTATTTTTAATATCTATTTCTTAGTTCCTGCTAAATTCAACTCTTCTTCTTTCTTTGCAAGATGCAAAAGCTCCAATAAAATTTTCGATGGAAAAAGAAAATTAACATCCTTTTCCAAAATCAAAAATTCTAGAGACCCCACTTGATTCTATTTTCGATAGACGATAAGAGAAAAATAAATCTATTTCAAAAGCGTTTTTATCAAGTGACAATAATTTCTTTTGTCCTCCTAAAAATATCGATGATGTGATGAAATATTCATGAAATTTAGTACGAGAGTGGAAATCAGCTAGTTTACTCCCGAAAATATATATCATATGTATGTGTGTATGAAGCGCGGGGTGCTCGTTAAAAAGCTTCAAGGACACACGACTACAGGAAAACCGCCTCCTCGCGAGCTTGACCGAACCGACTTGACCCATATAAGCTTTTCCAAGCTCCTCTTTCGCCTAAACTCACTTGCTTTTTGTTTTCACTAACCTTGAAACCGATGTACCCTAAAACAATTTTTCGGTGTGTCGACATTGAACGACAATATTGATGTTGTCAATTATCTATAGTGTGTTGCTGCAGCACTGAATTCTCTGAAGGTACAATTAATTTAGGTTCCGGACAATTTGTCATTGTCCTGAGTTATTGTCGATTAAAGTTGAATCATTTTAGAGATGGTACTTTTACCACTTGCATTAAAGTGTTAAATTTTGCGGTTTAATGGTAGAGAAATCTGTTTAGGATTTTAGGTATGTCTCTAACGAAAATAATGTGGGAGTGTTTTGGAATTGTACAAAAGTACTGGAAGATATGTGTTGGTAATTGAAGGTCCCGATCAAAGAACCGTTTATACATTTTTTTAAGCTGAAAATCATTGTCAGATGTATAAAAAATGATAAATTAAATTTACAAGATAAGAATTTGAGCCTTAAAAATTATAACCGATTCTTTGATCGGGACCCTCAATTTCCTTTTGTACTTTAGGAGGATTTTAAAAGTTTTGAACCAAAAGTAGAATCTGTTTTCGAAGATATAAATTTTTCCGGCAATGGCAAATTTAAAATTCCAACAACAATTTTGCAATTTTCGTTTCTTCTGGTATAAAGTTCATACATTTTTAGTTAATGAATATAATGGACAAATGTTTCTAAATAGGACTGAATTGTATTGAGAAGTTTTGATGATTTCACTTCTTGTAGCAAGAATTCTTATTACTGGTAAAAGTTGCCTAAAATCTCCACCAAGTAGTTTCTGACAGATGGTAAATCAACTATGGTTAAAATCACGTAATGTTCTATCAATTAATTCCAAAACATAAGATGATTTTGATGCCAAATCTGATAAAAGGGAATGAAATTCCAAAAGTTTTATGAAGTATTTTACCACGTTAACTTACGCCTTCTTAATTCTGTTCTATTTCGTTGTGATTATTACTCTTAATACTAACGCTGGTAAAATGTTCAGTTTCTATAGATATGAAAAAAAGTTCGTCTAGAAACGATTAAATTTAACCTAAAACTATTGCGTTAGTTCCACGTCTTCTGTTTGGACAAACATATCTCAGTTTTTAGCTCCAGTAGATTTGGTGGATTTTAGTATCAGTTTGTAACTTGTATCATTTTTTGGCTGCAGTAGATTTTGGTGGATTTTAGTCTTTTGGCGATTTCATATCCATTTGATGGTTTTAGAATTTTAATTAAAAAATTAGTAGTAGTTTCATAATATCTACCCCCGTTCTGACTAATCTTGTTGTTATATAACTTTTTGGTTTTATGACCCTAGAGGATATAATTTAAACAGAAAATTTGGACAATTAATTAAAAAAATCTTTTAACTGGAGATGTGTTATACGATCCTGTCGAGATTCGCATGTAAAAGACGGTTTACGGTGATCACGATTATAAAGAGCTGGTTCATTCTGCTGATGACATTTTGGATGATTAGTATCATTAAAGGAATTCCTGAAACACCAAAAACTTAATGCTGCGGTAGGGTGACCGTTATTTTGCGAAAGTTGGAATTTCTTAGGTCGCCGGGCTGAATTTACTTTAGAACATCCAAACCCATAAATATATATGTCGCCAAGGCAAAAAATTAATTAAAAAAAGGTTACCATACAAAATGTAAAATAGTGCACTAATCCTATGTTAAACCCCATTTAAACTTTAACCCTTCGGTGGCACGGGTTAATATTGATCGATTGGGCTTTCCTTGTGCATAGCTCATTTTTTTCACATTCTAAAGCAAATTCAGCCCGGCGATCTAAGAAATTCCAACTTTCGCAAAATAACGGTCACCCTAATGCTGCGGTATTGTTAAATTCTTCATTCGTAATGGAAAATTCTAGTTTTTTGTTCGTATACATTTTCACACTGATACACGGAAAAAAGAAATTAGCTGCAGCAGTAAATATATGTTTGCTGTAAAATCTCTGAAAATTAGCTACCACAGCTAAGAAGTTTGCAGTGGCAGCGAACATGTTAGCTGTGACAGCAAACATTAGTAAAAATTTATGCGAGTTTGCTGTCATAGCGAACTTTTTTGATCTCACAGCGAACTTTTTCGCTATCCCTATTTCAACGAACAAGGTTTGCTGTGGCAGCAAAATGTTCGCTGCCACAGCAAACCCTTTCTATGCGTGTATTCTCATCAGATAAAGAAAGTATTTTCGATTATTTTAATCTCTCCATTTTTCTAAAAAACTCTAAAAATTTTATACTTTTAAGGGCCAGTTTTAACCAACTCCGATTAAAAGTTAATCAATGATTAAAGTCAGTTTAACCCGCTCATGATTAGTCGGTTAACACCCTAAAAAAAGTAATCTCATAGTTAGAGGAAAAATCCTCTTCTAATATCCTCTCAATTGTTCCTCTCAAAACAAAAGTATTCCACCTGAATGTAGAATATTTTTATTCTTCAGTGGTTAATAAAAAAACAAAAGAATTAAAAAACAAATTTTGTTCTGACAGTTGGCTGAGCCAGAAGTCATTTAAGAAGAAGAAGAAGAAGAAACAAATTTAAAGCTATAAAAAAATGAGGGACTAACTCTGCTGGGGCTCGAAACCCAGGACCTATCAATTGCCGGTTGATTGCTCTTCCACTGAGCTACAGAGGTCCACATCTAACAAATTTTCATAGCTTTATCGATTCAATAATTGACAATTGTTTCGTGAAAAATTCTGGGAAGATTCAAATAGTTTGTAGCAGAAGAATACGTGCCATCTGGGCTATTGAGTCGATAAAGCTATGAAAATTAGTTGGATGTGGACCTCTGTATAGCTCAGTGGAAGAGCAATCAACCGGCAATTGATAGGTCCTGGGTTTCGAGCCCCAGCAGAGTTAGTCCCTCATTTTTTCATAGCTTTAAATTTGTTTTTCAATTATTATTGTT